GAGCTAATGATGTTTCTTACTGGGAATATGTTACTTAAGCATCATATAAATACTTCCATGTACTATATTATAGAGAGATTAGGCGCACATGTTTAACGCTGCACTCACTTATATTACAGCTGTCGTCGTTGATGCATGTCATTGTTTCCCAATTGCGTGGATCGATGCTCATGATGTCAATCACTGGGTTGACTGGTCCAGACTCGATTATTTACAGACCGCCGTCATATAGCAGGAATAGTGCTGAGCGCGGCGTTAAACAACAAACCAAACCAAACCGAAAAGATTGTAATCACAACACACCAAACCTAGCTATATGCATAAGTACAGAAATGATACCAAGTTGAGAGATGGTAACGGACAGAACAATCAACCGCCACTTACCCAGTTCTTGATATCCTTTCCTTCTCTACGTAGTCAGGGAGTCAGATCTCCAGACGTTCTCTTGCTCTCAACTCGCAATATGCTGCCGGTTCTCCCTTTGCTCTCCTCGAGTTATCTGCCTTCCCTGCTGACCACCTCTGTATATGAAGGGTAAGGGTATTTATCCTTTTGACTTGACGGCCCTGAGTTTACAGGTTGTTTACTTGTTTCTGCGTGATGGCCTTTTAATTGTCTGGCCATGTATCAACTTTGTGTAGTAAATAGTCTGTCCAGACAAAGATAATTTAAATAGACAAATGTAAATTGTATATCTCCCTGCTTGGATCAGTTTCATGTATGACCTCCATATCGTCTTCAGCTTCTGTGCCAAAGAGAAAACTCAGTGCTTTTCCAACAAAAAACAGAACACAACTCACCCCCTATATATCATCAAAATCCCCCGAAGCGCCACTTCCTAAAACATCCAGTGTGACGAAAAGATAAATAGGAGTATGTGTAACAAAACTCAACTGTCTGATTATCTCTTGAAGAAACGTAGCATTGTGTTCTGTCAATATAACGGCATCATAGGTAGGTCGAACGTGTAATGATTTGAAGACACAGGATGGAGGATCACACTTGATTTGTGTAATATGCTTTAATATGAATCGAACAGCTGTTCAGCCATGTCTTGTACGAAATAACAATGGGCTTACTGCGCGCACGTCAATGACTTCCGTTGGAAGTTGTTTCGCTACGGGCATGGTCTATAGATCAAATACAAGACGAAACAGATCAGCTGCAAATGTCAGAATAAACCAGTCGCCGAGAAATTCATTAAAAGGTGTTACTTTTGGTGAGTGAAAACAAGAAAAAAAACAAGTGAATTTGTGTTTTATCAGAATATACCTGTAAAAGAACGATACAAATTTATCTCCAAGGTAGAAAATTAAGGCACTTAGAAACATAAATATGTAATTTAGGATGTTAAATGATTTGCAAATGCAGACCTCTCATTGTTAACCAGTTATATGCAGATAGCAAATTGTTAAGCATCTTAATTTAACAAGGTTATTTTATCTTCGTTTCAGAACTGACGTCTTATTCTCTCTTAGCTCTATCTTAAGCAGGAATTCTCTCTCTCATGAGTGTAATTTGTTTTGATGGCTATTTTAGCGGCGTGTCCTTTAAGTACGATTCAAAAGAAGCTGTGCTTGCCAATGGATCCAGAACATTTAAAATAATATATTTGTAGAACTGCGATGAAATATACTGGATAATTGAGGATGAATGGTGAGGTAGTGTCTTGATTCCTATGTGTATGTCAGGGTGCACACTGCATCATTTAGGTGATGAGGAGTCTTGAGGCACAAGCCAATCCATACGCTAGGGCTTTGGAGCAGCGCTCTATGTAGACTTTGGTCAAATACTTCTTTTTTAAATCATAAGTTTTCATATTTGACCCCAGGGTTGACAATGTAAATGATAAAGAGCTGTTAACAAATACCTTGGATTGCTTCCCCACCGCCCCTCTGCTCGTGAATTGTATGCTGAAACTAATTCTGTCCCTTTTGTGACAAGAGACTGTGTACGGTAAAGCTCCAACTTATTTGTGTAATATTCTTTCTGGTTATGTTACGGTGGGTAATAATCTAAGAAATTCTTTAGAATTTAAACCTATTAAAGAAAGGACAACTTTCAATGTAAAATCGTTCCTATCTAGCACTGTAGATCTTTACCAGAGGAAGATATTAAATCAATACCATCCTTAAGTAGTTTTACAGACACGATTACGTCGAAATAAGGACATAATTTTTTATTCGATATCAATGTTGGAAATAGATTCAACTTAAGCCATTGTGAGAAATCATATGTTTTATTTTACAAATGGTTATGGTATTTTTTTTTAAAAACAGCCTTATGTGGTAACGTTGAAAAATGTGTACAAGAAAACATAGAAATTGTTTAATCTGTACATATAAACACCGACAAAAGAAACGCGAATACCATACATGTTGGTGAATATGTGAAGAATTTCTCATATTCAAGATATTTGAGATTGGTTCGATGCAAAAACGAACATTCTGTTATGGTTTGTGAACCGACGCTCATGAATGCATCACATGTGACGTCATAGATCCATAGTAGAAGATCCAAGTTTGGAAATCACGTGCAGGATATCGTGATAAGAATAAAGACACGCTGTGGTAGCACTTGACTGATTGTTAGTTTTGTCATTAAGTGGTACGCATTGGAAACATCTCTTCTCAACGTACATACTGCTCTATATATTTCCATGGTTCGCGTTTCATTTGGCAGTAAGTATATATTTATGTCAGAAACTGGCACATATGATTAACCAATACGGTTTTATATGTCAAATATTTGTACATTCGAATCTGCAATATGCAGAGATTTCTGTTGGAAATGGAAAGGTTTTGACGCTCTCTCTCTCTCTCTCTCTCTCTCTCTCTCTCTCTCTCTCTCTCTCTCTCTCTCTTTCTCCCTCTCCCTATCCCTCTCTCTCTCTCTCTCTCTCGCTCTCGCTCTCTCTCCCTCTCCCTCTCTCTCTCTCTCTCTGGCCCATAGACCCCTGTACAGTGTACCTTGTTACCGGTACCATGGCCAATACACACACACCTGTACTATGCACTGCTTTCCTGAAACATGGCCTATATGCCATGTTCCCTTTTTTAATTACCATGGCCAATATGCTCTTTACCGTGTATCCTGTCGTCAATAACGTGGCCTAAAAGCATTTACCGTGGACACTGTCACCAACACCATTACCTATATATTTTGTACCCTTTTAACAATGCCATTGTCAATACACCATTTACCATATATCATATTCTCAATAACATGCACCCTATTTCCATTACCAGCCACCATGTTCTCAATCCCGTGCTCTCAATACTCTGTTCCTGATACCATGCACCCTGTTCCCGATACCATACACTCTATCCCCAATACCATGCACCCTATTCCCGATACCATACACTCTATCCCCAATACCATGCACCCTGTTCCCGATACCATACACTCTATCCCCAATATCATGCACCCTGTTCCCGATACCATACACTCTATCCCCAATATCATGCACCCTGTTCCCGATACCATACACTCTATCCCCAATATCATGCGCCCTAATCCCGATACCATACACTCTATCCCCAATATCATGCGCCCTATTCACGATACCATACACTCTATCCCCAATATCATGCGCCCTATTCACGATACCATACACTCTATCCCCAATATCATGCGCCCTGTTCCCGATACCATACACTCTATCCCCAATATCATGCACCCTGTTCCCGATACCATACACTCTATCCCCAATATCATGCACCCTGTTCCCGATACCATACACTCTATCCCCAATATCATGCACCCTGTTCCCGATACCATACACTCTATCCCCAATACCATGCACCCTGTTCCCGATACCATACACTCTATCCCCAATATCATGCGCCCTATTCACAATACCGTTGGCCGTTCTCCCTGTAACTCGCACCGTATACACATGCAATGTAGTATTATGATTCTAATACCATGGACGATATCCTTTGTAAACTTTACTTATTGCATGTACCCTGTAACATCTTTTATGTAACCTGTACCTACAGTGTGCACTACATCATTGTCAATGTGTGCCTGGAACATGACCTAACTACCGTCCCCGGGCTTGCACCATCTACACCACACTCATTGTTACTCGACACCTTTACTGCAATACGTGGAAGGATTTAAATATCGGATTTATATTTTACGACGCCATTACCCCAATCTCGAATGAGATTTAACTTTATTGGGTAGCTGTGAAATGTAACAGTTATACTGTTTGCCAATGTTGTTGACACGAGTGAGGCAGTGAGAACCTACAAACGAATATACAGAAAGTTACCATGGCTGATTCAATGTCTGGCGGATCTAAAGTAGAGTGGAGACTGCAGCCATAGCAGAGTCAAAGATTGACTGGGACAAACGCAAATCACATGTTGCTTTCACCAGGGGGCGCGGGTGGCCCAATCGTCTAAGGCGCTGCAATTCGCTGTGCATAGTTGCGTCCCTTGGGCAAGCCAGAAACCTATGATTGTGGGTTCGAATCCCGGTTCGCCCCGATTATGTTTCTAGGTTTGTCAGAACCATACCCGTGCTCGTGGGTTTCACCGAAGTGGTAAAAGTCTAAGACCTGAATCACTTCGGACTTTCCTCCCACATTATGTTGACTCGTCGTGATATGTCTCGAATACTGTTAAAACCGGCGTTAAGACACAACTAACTCACACACTCACTCACTCAATGTCACCATGAATTCCATAAATTGAGTTAGGTAAATGAAGTTACAAAAATTATAAGTTACAAAGTTCAAAAATACAGATGATTGTTGTCTTTCAATGTTTAATCTTGACTTCCCTGTACATTCTATAGAACGCTACTTATCCCAGGGATGTTCTTTCGATATGCCCGTGGCATATTTTACAGCATATCCTGTTCTGCTTGCAAAGGCATCACGAGAAACGAAGACCCTCACGACGGGAGAAGGGTAAAATGGCACGTTATTGTTGTTACCTCCAAAAGGTGATCTGCACTGATGCCCATGCAATGACTAGATAACACACGTCTGCAACAAGATGATAACATGTCTTTATTCAACAGCAGTACATGTCTTGGACGGAATGGTTTCAATGATACTCATCAAATTCTGAATATAAGGACAACCTTTGGACATTTGGATTATAACACGTAAGTGTAATTCTTTCTCCTCTTTATATGCGAGTGCTGGCTGTGTGTGACTTTAATACCGGTGTCACTCACTGACACAAGGAGTCCTTAGGGAGCGAAAACAGACAGAACTGTAGTTACCTGTCACCTTTTACGTACTATTTAACATGTCGTTTTCCATGTAACCCGTCACTTAAACATGTCGTTTCCTGTAACACGTTCCATAAACATGTCGTTTCCTGTAACCCGTTACATAAACATGTCGTTTCATGTAACCCGTTACATAAACATGTCGTTTCATGTAACCCGTTACATAAACATGTCGTTTCATGTAACCCGTTACATAAACATATCGTTTCCTGCAAGCCGTTATATATACATATCGTTTCCTGCAACCCGTTTCATATACATGTCGTTTCCTGTAACCCGTCACTTAAACATGTCGTTTCCTGTAACCCGTTCAATAAACATGTCGTTTCCTGTAACCCGTTACATTTACATGTCGTTTCCTGTAACCCGTTACATAAAAATGTCATTTCTTGTAACCCGTTACATATACATGTCGTTTCCTGTAACCCGTTACATAAACATGTGGTTTCCTGCAACCCGTTACATGAACATGTCGTTTCCGAACCCCTTTACATTAGCATGTCTTTAGCTTTCACACGTTACATTAACTTGTGTTACTTGTACTTGCGTTAATGTGTCATAACTTACCAACCATTACACCCGATATTTTCATATATTGCACTTTAGCATAATCAAAGCTGTTTGCTCAGCTAAAGAAATATGGCATCGTTTAGAATGAGCGATCAACTGTTCGTGAAGTTACATGCATATATCATTAACATTTCGTCATCATAATGAAAGGCTGACCTCAGTTAAAGTTTAACATTTCTTACATTATCCTTTATAAAATAACATGTACCAGACATCATAACATCTCTAAACTCTGCAGCCTATGATGTCTCGTGTCTGTGACTTTCGAAACAGATGATCACACAGTCCTCGTGTCTCGTTTGCTATTCTCTTCGTCACTAAACACCAGGTTTTCGATAGACGACGTGTGGCAGAACTATATTGGGATATGAAGGATATGTGGGTAACTATCAACAAGGCGAAACCGAGCCCCATTGATATCGCAAGCGTTGCTTTTAATCGCGATAAAGGACTGTGACTCATCCTCTCTCTATCTTAGGGTACAGCCACGAACAGGGAACAGTTTGTGCAAACGTTTCACTTTCCACTCAACGTCCACGGACCCACATCCCAGCGTCTGTGTAAATACTGACGTATATGCACTGAACGACACTCTTGTACAAAGTGCATTGGTTGAAGTGAATTATCAGGGTATAATGGTACTACATGTGACCCGAATGACGAACTCCAGTCGGACCAAAGCCTGTGGCTGTGCTCTAAGGATTGAGACATTTCAGAGACCAGGTAATCAGATTGCCGTGGCCCTAAATAGCAGATAACACCACTGCGTTGCGTTAAATTCATAACGGGTTATTTAATGTTGTTGAGTCATCTATCAAGTACACACACACACACACAGTCCGCAAAGAGTGGTAAGAGCAAACTGATTTTAAAATGTTAGATTAAATAATTATATTTCTTCATTGTCAGATAAGCAAATTTGATGGTGTTAAACGTGATACATTTCGATTCTGCCGTTCACAATGCAGATAATCATGTCAGAAAAAATCGTATGGCGTGAAACCCTGTTAAGCCGGACGTTACCGTTCCGAGTTAAATCGCCCGGATTAACAAAGGTCCGGATGAACGAATCATGGGTGCGTGGTATTGTCCTTTAAGTGCATATAAACCACCCCGTTCTGATTACGGGGTTCTCGGTCTCATTGTACAGTGAAACACTGTCGACAATCGAGACATCTCGACATCCCAGGTAGGGGGAACCAAAGGGACATTAGTACGTGCACTTGACTCGTTAATCCGGACATTTGTTCATCTGGACAATTTCATTTGGTGCGATACTGACCGGGTTAACGAAGTTTTAATGAATGTGCAAAACGTGCATTACAAATGATGATACCAATTGAAATGGTGAATGAGAAAAATATATGGCGCAATGAGCTCCACTTAAGAAAACACAACATGCGCACATGTTAAAATCTCATGGGCTTGAAACGTCCCAGCAACAATCAAACAAGAGTTTAGCTAACATTTTGGGACATGGACATAGTGTAGATCTTTGGCTCAGGAGACAAACAGTACCTGCGTCACTGTATGACGTGCCTTCTCCAAGAACGGCATATCAGTCTGTGTCGAGAAACTAACACCATCATCAGCACGGGCAGTTATTTACCTGACATTTAGGGATACACATTGTTTTTCGTACCTAAGTTAATTAAGACGTCATGCTTAAATCTGCATGAACCTTTCAAATTGGTGACAACATTTTCAGGGGGCAATGAATGCAATTTCCTTCATTTTAACACATGAAAATACTTTCCCGATCTTAAGTGAAAGGTCTCTTAAATATAAAAAAAATATATTAAAACTAATCTACATTACGTTTGACATACCCATGAACAGAATAAGTTAATTGATGCATTTAAGATGGCTGCACGATATAAACAGTGGAGGCGGATAGTAAAAGTGATGTCTCTGATAACCTTTGGTTCAGTCCTTTGGTCAGCTTGCACGACATCTAAGCTGAGCTTACAGTTTAATGTAACAGTCCTTGGAACCAGCATTTATACACCTGGGAAAAGATACAGCATAACGCCTTCTTTATGATCATCTTTCACGAACGTTAATGCGTCATTTTAAATATGTGCATGACATTGATCTTATATGATAAATGTACAAAATACAGCAAGAACCCCTTGGCGGTACAAGAACACTGAATGGCCTTCCAGATGGCCTCGGGTACTGAGTCATGTCAAATGACACAAGAGGCAGAGGGATCAATGGGAAGCATCGTCAAATAGCTAGTGCCAAGGATCAGTTACAAAATATGGCATGAAGTAAACAATCTTGATTTCTGTATTTCAATGTAAGTATGTCACTTTGTAAACAAAAATAAAAGTGTTTTTGTCATTATGAAAGGATACGATTTCTATAACAAAATGTATATGAAACTTTACAGTAAGCGGTGCCAGATGCATTAAAGCCTCGAGCAATACATGCTTCAAACGATGATATAGGAACATGTATTGAAGCAAAATCGACAATAACTCTTGTCAGGATTCTGTTGGAACAAAGTTGTAACCGATGGTTGTGAACATCCACATCGATGACAAACGTTGCATAATGAAAATGTACGCGGTTATTACATGATGATAAAAAATGTAATAAAGCGGTGATTGGTAAATTGCAAACTTCAAAATTGCATTCATCATACATGTATGTACACTATGAATATACATTCCGCATCTTGTCACACAAAGTAATGTAATGCTTGCAAGTAGATATTTGAAATATCTAATCTGACTTTAAATACGGTTTTTTTAATCAACGTATGTGGTGAGAAAAGACGGGCGATATTGCAAATGTTTTTCTATTTGAGTTTATCCTTAGCCACAAAAGAAGATAAAGATGCATTTCCAACCTGCTGTGTATGTGTTTGAGGGAGTATGGGTTTATGTGCGATATATTTCCTTACGATATGCCATACGTTCCAGCATTGAAAAAACACATCGTTTTCGTGCCGTGATTGGGCTAGTTATAATCGATATACGTTATACGAGTGCATTTATGTTAGCACTGTGTGTGTGTGTGTGTGTGTGTGTGTGTGTGTGTGTGTGTGTGTGTGTGTGTGTGTGTGTGTGTGTGTGTGTGTGTGTGTGTGTGTAAACTGATAACTATGTGAAACTCGCAACTTTGATATGTATGTATGTTATGGTATGTAGTTTAACGCCGCTTTTAACAGTGTTACGGTCATAATACGGCGGTCATTTTCACTGTCGGAATAAATCCCGACATGAGGTGGTAGATGTCTACCGCTCTGGTAAACCCGTGTGTACGGCCTGGTACATAGAAGCATTGCTCCTGTGAGTTTCCGATTCGAACCCTGAAGAAATGGATCCTTGCAGGTAAGGGATGTATACTGTCAGTTTTAAACTTCACGTTATCAAAATTAATGTATATTTAATCCATAATAACTACAGTTGTCAGATTTGATAATCATACTGTAAAACTAAACATAATTGCACGATGCAAGAGCATCCCTGAACTGATCATGAGCGAAGAACTTTCATAATTAAGTAATCAATTTCAACAATAGGTCACTGCATTACAACTTACTGTAGCTGGAACTGTCCCTCGGTGTATGTACATATCAGTCAGTGGGATGGTTTCAATCATAGCATAAAATACAAATGATTAATTACTATTTACACATGCTCGGTAGTGCAGTAGCCGTAATTACTCTGTGTAACCAATAACGGTGGTGTGTTCTGACCCAAAACATAACGTATTTCCTCATATAGACATCCAGTGATTTAATGCAAGACGGAGCTCCGATAAATGTCAGAACACCAACATACGACGGAGCTCCAACAGAGACACGGGAGATCCTATAGTCGTCAGATAATGGAAGAAAGGGGACAAGATCTCTAACAAACGCTGTGTATTTAAACTTTCTTAAGCATCAAGCTTGTGAACTGATTTCTTCAGCGAGAAAACGTGAAGACATTGCTCTCCAATAAGAGCCTGGTCATTATAATGTCCGAAAGATACAACAGGAAGCGTATATCAGAGGGAATACGGTACTTACTGTACCATCGGTAAATTCACTGCGTAATAACGTATATCAATTGTCGTTTGAACGGAGTGCCATAAAATGTTTGCCTAATCTATAACATTAATTAATAACCTTGTATGTAAATATACCGTATTTACACATGTATAATTATGTACAAAGGGTTTGCAGTCATGCGTTGGAATAGCAGGGTGAAGTGGGATGAGTGACCGTGACATTAGACACGCTGTGTATCATTAGATATCAGTTTCAGTGCAAACATTGAGGGAAATAACTATATATTTTTCATGAATACATGATCGAAAGCATAATGGCCATTTTTGGTAGTCAAATTAATGGGTTTTTCTTATTTCAAAGACGATTTTGGATATGTTTGGCAATTGTTTTTGTTGAACGAAAACATATTTGAATTGTTCACTCCATCGTGCCAATACATCATGCGACATCGCCATCGTAGGTATACGATGTGACATGTAATCTTTTCTATCACATGTTATTATATAAAACACAGTCATATAACGACGTCAATACACCATCAATATTATCAGCATTTCAATTGCACAATGTGTTTGTTTAGTGGAATCTATTGCAATTATTCACTGTCAGGGGTTTGGTAATTGTTCAATACATCTGTGTCGGAAATAACCCGTCAAATAATTCAATCCCATTGTCCGCAAGAGATGACACAAAACGATCAATGGCTAAACGTGGTGCGTAATTGATAGCACAACGGTTGACCGATGTAAATTGGCAATGAAAAGAACATGCCAATTACAGAAGCCGATAGAAACATCAGCATCCCTTGTATGCATCAAGAATGTCGATTCCACGTTCGGTGAAATAGGTAACTCTGTGTGGTCTGGTGCGATGGACGTACTTGTGACAGCACGCCTGATTGATGGCCAACTCTCCCATTGTTTCTCATTTTGTCTCGCCATCTGCAAATAGAAATGATATTGTCCTTCTGTACTGAGGAATGAAATGACATTTTGTACCTGCGTCAGTAGTTAGCTGTGTTACACGTTAGAAAGACGGGACCTGAATAGACGTGTTACAGATAAACAAATATTGTCAGTAGTCAGTCTCACATTTATATTTCATGTGCAAACATACGTCAGTGATATCATCAGACTGCATCGGAGTTCAAATATTTATATTCGTCGTATTATTTGTCATGTTTAAATGCACTTTGTATATCACGATTGCGAATAAATGAAATAGCTTTTAATGTCGAAACAAAAGAAGTGAGTTAAAAGTTTCACATCAGCTTTGTTTCAGCAATATCGCGAATTAAAAAAGATGTTTCAATATATAATATAATGATTTAAAAGTAATCCGTCAAAAACATTTGAAATGGCAAAATATTTACACCTACTTTAAACATATGCTTAAAACACAACAACCAAACGCAGACCATCGTCATATCCCTGGCCAATATGGAAGTAGAGTAATGCATCGATTGTATTGGTTATATTGGATGGTTAAATAACATCTAATACTTAGTTTTTCATATTTTCTAGGCTTTGGTAATTTTACTGTTCACCTCAAGATAAGATAGATATAGTTTCAACTGCGTAAGTGATGTATTCCAGTTGCATGACGACGAGTCAACTAGTGTGTGAAGAACGCCCGGTGAGTTATATAACACAAATTTTTTATTTTTTTTATGAAGATGTACTGCTGTGTCAGACTCCCCACTTCAACGTTTAAATAAATCACTATTTGTGTGCTAGGACAAGAATGAAAGTCAACATGAAGAAAGTAATACTACTTGAAAATGGAGGCCCTCTAAGTAGTAGTAGACGTTTCAAGGGGAAACATAATGAATTTGTATTATTCTGAAATTAATGAATGTAATACATATCATTATGTCAATACATATTTAATGAAGACTTTAGGTTCCTCGGCTTTAGGGTCGTGATTAATCATTGCTGACTGCGGACAATTTGGATGTTTTGCGTGTTTGTTGGGAGGATAATAGTCACCCACGTGTTTTTTTGTAATGTGAACACAACACAATGCTTGTTCAACTATCGAGTGCACAAGAAACACATTTATTTAATCGTAAATAACGCTTACGCAAAGTTACGGCTTCCTGAAAATCACCGTCTACGCGCTGTGGGTATGCTGCAGACGCAACGGCGCAAACGAGTTGCCCGGCACTTTAATGTTCATCGAAACGCATTATCATCTCTTTGAAGACGTTATCTACAGCAGAGCAACTCATGACTTGCCACGGGCCGGTCGTCCACGTCACGTCACGTCAACAAGACACGCATATTCGGTTGGTGCATCTATGAAATCGATACTAAATTGCCAAATTAACTTCTCGGACAATTCCTGGATTGAGACCAATTAGTAGCAGAACCAAACATAACTGTTTGAGGGGGCACAACATCCGGCCCCGACGTCCTGAGATACGCCAAATTTTGTTTCCACATCACCGCCAGGCACGCCTAGCTTGGTGTAGACAGCATGTGAGGTTCAGAAGACAAGACTGTAACAGGAATACTGTTGACAGTCTTGTCCAGGATGCATCTGAAGAGTTCTGATGGTCGGGTCTAACGGCGTCCAGGATAAACGTTTTAACGACACCTGCGCTGCTCAACATTTTCATTTTGGGGTTGGAAGTGTTATTGTATGGAGTGCCATCATAATACATCATTGCTAATGACAATTTGAAAGGCGTACACTACCGGGACGACATCGTTCGAGATCATGTTCTACACTTTGTGCAAATTCCCAGACGTTACGTCACGTTACAGAATGATAATGCACGCCAACAAGCATGTGTTGTAACAGACCTTTTCAGACAGGATAACCCGGTCAATTTCCATCTCAGAGTAAATCATTAAAATGTTTTCACTGTGAAAAAACACTTTACAGACGGCCAAAGTTCGCAAACGTTATTCCACGCCCTTCTGAAAATGTTGTGGGATTGGAATGTTTGAAATCGGAATTGCACAACACATTGTTGCTAGGCGTGTTGGGGTTCAGCATAACACCATACAGTCACTGTGGGGTCGGTACCAACAGACTGGCAACACCAAGGACCGACCACGTTCTGGACGTCATCGAGTAACGTCACTTCGACACCCTGTACGTATGGTCATAGACTAGAGTGGACAACAAAACATCCCTTGGCCTGCTGTTGAACCAGATCTGTCTCCCTTCGACCCGTTCAAACCAACCAGTGACGTTGGCCCAGCTGCTGCAGGCCTTGGTCCAGGTCTGCAATGAAATGCAACATGCTCCTCTCCGCCGTCTTGTATTGCCAATGAGGCGCCCTTGTCAAGCTTGTGTCACGCCTAGTGGTGGCCATACACCGACACTGAATTATGAACTGCCAATTGACAATTAACAACCTGAGATGACGTTTACAGAGGACATGTGTTGACACTGTCATGATGAATTCATATTTAACAGCCATCAATATGTGTTCTGCATTTATTATGTCTCATCGGATTGTCAGTGATGCACAGGAACTTTTTACCGCTAGTATATATCGCGTGCATCAGAAGGCTTGATTAACGTGCGACTGAATGATCAAGGCAGCTGATAACATAATAGTCATGTTGCTTTTACGAATCACACACACACACACACACACACACACACACACACACACACACACACACACACACACACACACACACACTAATTAATATTAACACGCATATGTTCTTGCCAACTGTAGCGGTATTCCCATGGGTTGAAGGACATTTCAGTGATTGACACGCGTGCGTAGGTATTGTGCGATTGTAAGATGGTTGGTTTTCACTGATTTTAAATTTTGCAGGCGGCTCTCAGCGGACTTTCCGTATTCTACGCGGATATTTCAGTGTTTAACTAATCGATACCACCACGACGGCAAGGAACTGAAATTACAATGCACTCGGATCGTTCATACAAATTGCAGAATCTTTAAACAGATGACGTCCATGTTGTTGTGTGATGGTTGTTTTCCACTGATATTAAATTTTCAGAAAGCTCACAACGTATATTCCGTATTCTACGGGAACATTTCTGTAATGTTAAATTAATCGATATCACCACTCGGATCGTCGATAACAATCGTAGAATATTTTATCAGTTGACAAAAAATTCAAGGTTCCAAGGAAATAATTCACTTGATATGTATCTACAGAAGATTTTCCTTCTTAAATGCATGTGTCAAAATATGTAATCAATGGGGAGGATGTTTGTCATTCTAAATTTAATTTAAATCTACATTGATCTGTGCATTTGATTTTGAATAAGCAGAATAGGTTACAAAATATCATATTTTCAAATCTGTTTCCTTTCACATCACGAACAGCCAACGAAGACGGTACTTATTAAACCAAGGATCGTGGTTAGTTGGGGGTCGCAACTTTCTGAGCGTAGTTTAGCCGTGCAAGTTTCCGCTGATCGTTGTTTAGAAAATTATATTCGTCCTTGTAGGGGCCTAAATACCCGTGGTCATGGACTCCTACATCGTGGTAAATATCTAACCTACTCTTTAGTTGCATCATTCTATGGTATGGGCTACTGTTGAATATGGTGTTGCAATTTGGGGCACTTACAATATTTCTTGTATTAATGGTGTTCATAATCGGGCCATGCGATTCTTTTAAGGCTTACGCAAGTATGCACCGAATAATGGTATGATCGGGGTTATGGGTTGGTCGCCTTCTGGTGTAAATCAGTGAAGAAGTGTGTCAAAACTTTATAGACGCTTATGTAAATTAGATGGTAATAGAGCAACTGCCAATTTTTTTATTTGGAGTATTGATTTAGCAATGAAGAAAAAGCATCCCCTTAATCATAGAGTTAATGTCGAACTTTGTGATCCTAATTTAGCTCATTTTAATAACATAAACATTGATTATCATATCCTTTATGTTGTTTCACAAATTACCGATGTTATTTTTAACGATTATGTACATAAACGGAAACATGAAGTGTCGCAAGCAAGCAGTAAAACTAGAAGAGGTGGTAATAAACTAAGAACTTAATCCACTTTTAAATATGAATTTGGTTGTGAATTTTATGTAAATTGTAACGTGTCTCGTCCATATAGAGAAGGGCACGGGCTGTTTAGCTGTGATGTAGCTCCTAAGTGTTGAAACTTGGAGATATGATGGGGGTCTTTTATCTGAAAGAATTTGTTTCTATTGTAAAGATTTTATTGAAGATGAATGTCACGTTTTACTGCAATGTCCATTATATCACGTCGAACGTTTTAACCTTTTAAACAAGTGTACCCAATTTGAAAACGGCTTTATGTCCTTTTACGATCAAAATAAGGTTCGTTTAATACTGTCATACCCTGGACTGTCCTTTTTAACTGCCCACACCTGCCATAGTATCTAAAACAACGTGCTGCCAATTTGAATTTTCCTACTTGATATATATTTTATTGTAATTGTTTACGGTTTTACGGTCTGTCTGTCTGTCTGTCTATCTCTGTCTGTCTGTCTCTGTCTGTCTGTCTCATATATAACTGAAATACTGTTCAAAGCAGCGTTTACACCAAACTCAATTCACTAGTTATGGATCTCTTCCGCTTCTGACTCTGGGGTGGCCAATCAGTCCAACTGACCCCTGTGTATGTTGTAAACTGATAACATAACTGGTGTACTGACTTATAATACGTTTGATATCATTACTGTCTTGACGGTGACCGCCTCCGTAGTGTAATGGATAAACGTTCTGCCCGGAGATGTGAGATCGATGGTCCGATCTCCGGCGCAGCATACCAAGAGACGTTAACAGATGGTACTTGTTGTAACCCTGTCTGGCGCTCGGCATTCAGGGAATAAAACAAGGACTGGTCGGCTCAAAGGCAATATTGGTGAATGAGTATGGTTTTACATCGCTTTAAGCAATATTCCAGCAATATCACGGCGGGGGACACCAGAAATGGGCTTCACACATTGTACCCATGTCGGGAATCGAACCCGGGTCTTCGGCGTGACGAGCGAACGCTTTAACCACTAGGCTACTAGACCGCCCACTCAAAGGCAATATAGTGTGTCTGAGTGGGAATCCATTAAACTGCGGCATGGTATCTCGTATGCTAGCATTATAAAACCTGCATTTGTCCGGACTTAAACACGTAGCCCCACATGTTCACTATCTGGTATTTGTCGATGTAATGCAGCTTCCTAACGCCACCGCTGACATTTCGATACCATGAAATGTAACATGTTGGTTTAACTTCGTATTGTCTTTACATTTGTCAATGTATTGAACCCTTCGGCTTTTCCGTTATGATTCATCATAGCGTATCACCTGCATAATCCATAAAGCGCTTCTGATACAAGTGATTTAATAAGTAATTACGCTTTCATGGAAGCTTCACCGCCGATCCCGTAAATATAACATGTTTATACAAACAGGAAATTTCTCGACACATAACAGCCATCTTCCCTTATGATGTTAGATATATACCAAATGAACTATAGGGTTACCATAGAAACGAAATAATATTTATTTTACGCAAGTAACGATTTATACTTATTGCGTTAGAGACATTCAAATGTATGTTTATGATACACCGCTGAGCATCCTTGTGGTCAAATGGGGTTAAGCTGTCTTCGTTTGTTGTTCCAGGGTAATTTGTATAATAGTTTTATCATATTGATTCTGGAGCTATTGAATCGATACCGACTTTATTGATGTTTCTTCCGTTACTTCTAGCGGTTTGAGAGTAAACAGCAGACTTGCATGGACGGTAAAATGGGACTTTTATGTAAACGTAAAAATCTGTAATGCACGACGGATCGAAGAAGTGTGACATTAACAAGAAGGCGTTTATGTCTAAACCACGTTTTGCAAGGCAATAAGTTCAATATACGTGATTTTTCTCTAGTTACCATTTAGTTGTCCGTGTTTACGTCACAGCCAGGCAACGGTGGGTTTTTTTTGTCTTAAATTTAAGCGGATTTGCTTTTCGCAAACGCATACATGCAAATATACTATCTGCATTTACTCAGATCAATAAATTTGAGAAGCACTTTAAAGCTATTATTATCATGACGATATACGAGTGTAAGGAAAGCGGGTATTTGGGTTGCACTCTATCTATTGTTTATGTGAAAGGTTTTGTCCATGATGAGATACTTTTTACTGTTAATGTAAACTAATACATCAGGTTTCATAGTGTCGACACAACACGAAGACATATATTAGCACCTGAACATCATCGTGGTATTGTGAGTAGAACATGGTTTGTCAACACCAACCACGATTACGAATAAGCACTTATTATGTACTTGGGACATTCTACATTTCGTTACTACGTAACTATCGCCTACTACATAATGCCTAATCTCAACCAGAGTTTCATAATATCGATTTCTTTATCTGGAGACAGTGCCAGAACGCATTGATACTAATACCGCCTCTTATTGAGCACATACTTACTGGTCCAAGAGATCCTCCCAGAACATACTATCAGGTTCATGGGTCCCTACCAGAACATTATGACACAAACACCTGCTGTATGACACACACTTACTCTCTGATTCGTGAGTCCCTACCAGAACATTATGACACAAACACCTGCTGTATGACACACACTTACTCTCTGATTCGTGAGTCTCTTCCAGAACATTATGACATTATAACACCTGCTGTATGACACACACTTACTCTCTGATTCGTGAGTCTCTTCCAGAACATTATGACACTAACACCTGCTGTTGGACACACACTTACTCTCTGATTCGTGAGTCTCTTCCAGAACATTATGACACTAACACCTTCTGTTGGACACACACTTACTCTCTGATTCGTGAGTCTCTTCCAGAACATTATGACACTACCACCTGCTGTTGGACACACATGCTGTCAGTTTTAAAGGTCTCCATCAGAACATTATGACACTACCACCCGCTGTTGGACACACACTTACTATCTGGTTCAGGGGTCTCTACAGGTGCAGGCTTTGTCTTGGCAGCGGCAGCGGGCGCCGGGGAGGGGCGAGGGGTCATCCTAGCCTGGCGTTTCTGCTCCCTCTTGGTATTGACCATGTCCAGTTGACGCCGCCTCTCTTCCTTCAACTTCTCGTTCTTCCCGTGCAGGTCATTTAGCAGCTGTTCCGTCTCAATCTGCTGGGCCTTCAATAACCGATGTCATGGTTACATCGAGGACACATGCAATCAAAATGTGTTCTAGGTCTCAGTTAATTCCTTACAAACATTTATAATACGTACATTGAGGATGGGTAGCGAGTTGTAACATTTATGACAAATGGCCTTTGCATAAACTGCCCAAATCATATCACTTTAATATAAAATCGATATGAACGGTTTTCACAGATAAAAATAAGGATGGGGATCGTTCTACCTGACGATTTTAGTGCTATAATATACATTTCCATAGGCCAACGATGGTCGTAGAGGAAAGATCGCTTTGAGGAACGACCCTGGAGGTATATTGTTATTAGGAATTTCGTGTTAAGATGTGTCAACCAGAGCACACAGAAGAGAAAACCCGGACTGGATAACTGACCCCTCTGAATAGGTATGAGCGGATCATTGTTTCCCCAGAGGTGATAGGTATGATGTACCGATCAAAGGAAACGTTTGCCTAGAAATCAAACGGCAATAATTTTCAAAAAGCAAATATGATATAAGTGCAGTAAGGTGACCTGCAATATCAGTTTCCCCTTCAATAAAGCGGCGGTTTGGCGGGTATGCCAGCGACGCGAGTGTCAACATGCGGTGCACACTAGCAAGATGGCACAACCACGTGGGCTTGTTTCGCACGTGCAGCACGTGCACTTTCATATCCACTGAATAAACTTTGCCAAGTCACTGGGAGAGACTTCTCCTCTGTGTGTACTAAGCCAGAAGCTGCAGACCTAACTTGCTACACTTACGGCTGTTATGAAATAGAACACAAAGATATACAAACCGATTTCTGTCCCTCATCTATTGAGAGGCTGATAGGTGAGTTTGGTAGTTCCATAGTTTCTGTGACGCACTCCGACACAGTGGTGATACGGGAGCCCTGTAGACTTCGGTTCCATCGATCCTCAGCTGCTGTCTTAGGTTTGTAGCTTGCTCCTATATTTTTATTAGCGTCGGAAGAAGGTTCTTCTTTCTTCTTCACATCTTCTATGACACTGAATTCACTTTTATTTTTCTTTCTGTTCGCAACGTTAATTGTCAATTTTTTTATAAAGTCTGTTGCTCTCTGATTTTTAAGCAGCAGCTTCCGCTGTAGTTCCTTCCGCTTCTTCTCGGGTAACCGCACCCTTGATTGCGCATGCGCGTAATAAAGAGTAAAGTTATTGACCACGATTGGGACCGTGAAGGCCACTGTTAACACCCCACACAACACACACATAAACCCGATGATGTACCCTCCTTCTGAGACTGGTACCTTGTCACCATAACCAACCGTCGTCATGGTTACTAGAGCCCACCAGAAACCAATTGGGATATTATTGAATGTTGCATTTTCCGCATAATATATTATGCTGGCGAATATTAGAACCCCGCTAAATAGGAATATAACCATGAGACAAAGTTCTTTTGTGCTCACTTTAATAGTGTAGACTAAAATCTTGAAGGCGGTGTAGTGTTTCATTAGTTTGAAGATCCGCAGGACTCGTACGATTCTTAAAGCCAGGACGGACTTGAGAAAATGGCTGGCAGAATCTGCAGGGTTGATGGTCTTGATCGTGATGGCGATGAAATGCGGAAGGAGACACAAAATATCGATGACGTTCAGAGGCTGGCGTATGAATACCAGCTTCCTCGGAGCAAAGAACAGTCGCATGAGATACTCAAATGTGAAGAAAGCTGCACACAAGTAGTCCATGTACTTCATGGCGTCATGAGGTTCGGTGAGTGTACTGGGGAGTTCGTCCACCTTAACCTTACAGCAGCATGCCCCGTCCCCCCTGCTGGTGACCTCCAATGATGTTGTGTTGGGGAGAGTCACCCCCGGGAGAGGCACTCGGAACCAGGAATGGGTCTCAAGGCAGAACACGGCGATAGACAGAACTACGAAGAACATTGATACGACCGCATACACCTGCAAAAGACAGGATGGAATTAGTTTATTTGTTGTAATCAGCACGCGAAACTTTATGGCTGACATTTTGACGATGTGACCTAAATTTTTCAACTTACCCATTCGCTTTAAACAACTTATTAGGAGGGCTTGTCCGTTACTGAACGGAACTTGAAGTTTAAAGGATTCGAACGAAACTTCAATTTCAACTTTTTCAGTTAAATGCCTGAAGATAAATAAACGGACAGAAAAATTTCAGAACATGGAAAGGGATAAAATGCAAAATTTATATGTTCCCCTCGCTAGAATGAAAGCATTTAGCTGTCCTCGCATTCACCAAACGGCGTGGAGAGAACATACGTGTAAGGATGGGGTTGTATGTACTTGTCCAACTGTGAGACATTATACACAACATGTAGGCTTGACATTGCCTTAGATAGTCGTAGCGCTAAGATTGATTTGTGAAACCTGGTCTTGGTCAGATGTCCGGAAGAAATACGTAAACTTTAAAAAATCAATGTTCATGAATACGCAATGCTGTTGGAGAATAACACCTTTGCCCATCGTGATGACGCGGGGTCCTCCAGGAACATCCAAATCCGTTTCTTGAACTTCTGCAGTGACGACGGTTTCTCCCCCCACGCCTTCTCGTCTAGTCCCAGGGTGAAGTTCTCGTCGAGGTCCGCCAGAGTGTCTTTGTGTTCCTTGAAGCGACTGTAGTTGCCCCAGCAGCATGGCTCTATGTCCAGCTCCGTCAACCCCCAGTACTCCAGCTCCTGTAAAAAGGGTCCTATGCAATAATTTGAAAGATAAATATTGTAATTTAGGAATCATTTCTAATGGCAGGTCTTCTATCTGTGATCGATAGTCTGATTCGTGGCAGTGATGTACAAATCCATTGTTATATGTCGTCATATTCGTTATGACATCATATTGATGTGCCATCATTAAGTTATGTAGTCTGTTTTGTTCTTGTGGTTAGTTATCGGCCGACCTGTTATGTACTATGGGACGGAATAATAACAGAAGACCATCTGCTCCTACTGTATAGCAGACGAGCTGTGGGCATTTGTGTCCAGTCAGGGAAGCATGAGGGCTGGAATGGGCTCCCACTCTGCAAGTAGGCAACCGAGCGAAACCTTTTCGGTCCAGCGCCCGTCCAAACTTTGCCACACCTAACGGTATTTATTGACATGAGACGCTAATCAGCGACAACAATATTATGATTGTATGATTATTGTTTGTATGAATGGATCCGTGTGCGCATGTGTACATGTGGATGAAAGCGAATACATGATGTACATAGGATACTTTGATATATCCCTAAATGACATTAAAGCACCCACCCCTTCACGCGCACACACACGCTGACGCACGCATACACGCACACACGCACACACACACATATCTATCTATCTATCTATCTATCTATCTATCTATCTATGGACAGACATGGCGGACCGCTGACAGGCCAAGAACAGGCAGACCCAGGTTGACCACGCCCCATGATGACCGGTACTTGCGTACCTTGCACCTCCGAAATCGCTTCCTGACAGTGACGTCATCGGCAACAAATGCCTTAGGTCACAGGGTACGTCGACAGGCAGGGCTTTTAGACCATACAGAGGACATCTATTGACAGCGCTCTGACTGGCAGAGGGTTGTCTTCACTGACGAAAGTCGATTCTGTATGTTTAGGGCTGATGGAAGACAACGTGTTTATCGCCGAAGGGGTGAACGAACGGCGGCGTGTTGCGTGCAGGAGGTTGTACCATATGGTGGAGGGAGTGTCATGGTGTGGGGAGGGATCTGTGGACAGGAGATGGATAACATTCTTCGTCCAGATGTCCACCATTTCTCCAACAGCAGCCACGTGGTGTCATTTATCAGCATGACAACGCTAGAGCCCATACAGCCAGAATTGTCACTAACTTCCTCGCAGCCACCAACGTCAACGTCCTGCCGTGGCCTGCACGCTCTCCCGACATGCCCCCCATAGAACCCCTCTGGGACTTGATGGATCGTCATGTTCGACAACGACCACACTCTCCAGGCAACCGGCAAGAACTGATCTTGGCCCTCCAAGAAAAATGGCGTCCAATCCCACGTGACCTCATCAGACGACTGACTTTTTCTGTGCTTCGAAGAGTTTTTGCGTGTATTGAGGCATTTGGTGGTCACACACGCTACTAATGACTTGTTATGGAACGTGAGCGATTGATTATGTACTCTGCCTACTGTCCATGATTCTGAAAGCTCGAGTTTTGTACCACACCCAACTTTGGGGGGCTCTGACGTCATTCTCGGTCGCGGTATGATTGTCACTTTCAGTGTTGATTATGTTAATATATATTGATCTTCTCAAAACACTTTACTTCATGCATGTATGTTTTGTTGTTTTTGAGCAAGAGTGATTTCAAACTCTGGTAAAGTTTCTTTTGGACGTCAGTTTATATATTATATAAACAAACACATACACACACAGCTTACTCACAAACCTTCGGGGAACCTCACTATACGTATGGTCTGTATTTACCATATGCTTAAGGGCAACACTGTTTCCGTACACATCATCATATTAACAAACTACTGATTTTATTAAACTTGCTCGCGCTCGGAAATATCAATTTCCGTTTGCTGAAATCAGCCGCAAGCACCTGCGATATACTTATTTGATTATCTCTTGTAGAACTAGGTCTTATGGATGTCATTTAATCTGTGGCCGATTGCCTAAATCGTAGTAGTGATGTGTAATTCCACCGTCAGGAGACACTGTAGCCGTGACTATGATGATTATATTTGGTGCTCTCTAATCATTCAGCCCCTCATAACGGCTATCATCTGATGCCAGCTTTAAGTAGCTAAACCTTATGAGAAAGAACACAACAGCAATTCAAAAAGTACGTCGGATGCATGTGGAAAAATTAACCTGTTCCTACCTTACGTAACTAAAGATTTCCTTTATGTCTGATTCTTGGTATTATAATTGTATTACCACATAGAAGTTTGGGGTGTAATTGCTCCAAAAGAGTTTATAGGTTAAGCAATCAGTATACATGCTCACGTTACCTAGTCCGTTGTCAAGCAATCGACAACTGCACTACACTACCCTACACTACACTACACTACACTACACTACACTACACTACGCTACACTACACTACACTACACTACACTACACTACACTAGACTACACTGCACTGCACTGCACTGCACTGCACTGCACTACACTTCACTACACTACACTGCACTGCACTACGCTACACTACACTTCACCACTACACTTCACATCACTTCATCACTACACCACACTACACTACACTACACTACATTATCTCAACACTAAACTACACTATCACAACACTACACTACACTACACTACACTACACTACACTACACTACACTACACTCACTACACTACACTCATGTTGATGGCGTGACGCGTAAAATTGTAATGCTTCACAACAACATGTATTGCTCAATTATGTGGTATAAACTTGAGATGAACAGAACCAATATTTCAGAGGGAGGTACCCTAAAATAATGTTATAACTCAAACCTTTGTGCATGGCTAATGAAGCTGCTGATCAATGCCCTTGAAGTCAGTTCAAATTAATATTTGACAACATCATCTATTACACAATCCTCATTATTGCACAACATTAACAAAAGAACAACTAAGTCTTCTATTCTTCAGCTCTCGTGTGTTGTTGTGAGTCATCACTTGTGTTGACCATTTCAACAGTGGTACAAAGCCTGACCGATAATGTTCTATATAACCCGGGAACTCTGCATCTAGAAGCGATCAATTATTCACTGTGGCAAGATAACAATTGTTATTCGCAGATGAAAGGGAATGTATATATAACGCCTCATTGTAAATGTACGGGGAAACATGACCGGTAATGAACATACTTCCGTAATACTACCGATGACGTCAGATCTCACCAAGTATCAGCCGTCACATCTTTTTCTACTCAAACCCAATCTCATCTAAACCAGATCATTTAGTCCAATACGATAACTCTCTGCATGAACACACGACAATCAGCCCATAGGAGATTGGTTCTGGTGAGCCCTCTGTAAGCTTTGACCGTGGAACCCAAAAGAAGGTTGTCACCTTTCTGAAATGAATCGACTTCGTTTCTTGCTTCATTCGATTCAAAATGTCGATCGTACCAAAGGGAAACACACAGTGACACAAATCTATCCTCGAAAACATCCTGTTGGGCTCAGAAACGACAGGGTGTATAAATATATCCACAACACCACTATAGCGCGGCCTTTATTATTTTCAATTGTTAACTGCCCGGTTATGTTCGTTTTCGAGATACAGAAATAAGATATGCTGCTCTGAATGCTTCGTTCGTACCGATAATGAGAAGTCGCAATGCTGGCTGGCTGATTACAAAATATACCTGACGCGACCTCCCATGGTATCGTATAGAACTAACGCAAACCGCATGAAAAATTCCTAATAAGCAAATTAGACAATGTACATATTAAATAGTCCGTTATCTTATTATGTACATCCGCATTCGCTACTGTATGTATTGCACGTTATTAGCCCGCACCTCAAACATGTCTTTTACATAGTTAGGTATCTTTTATCATTAGATTCTAGTATATGTTACAGTCATTATCGAACATCAGTCTAGTTGTAAAATAACTGAAAATGTCTGTCTGTTTACAAATTGCATGATCAACTCAGTCACACTACAAATTACCTAAACATATATATTATTGACTTATTAGTTCTACTTGTGAAAAATAGACTGTCAATAATAAGTATTAAACAAAGTGTTTTGCTTAAACTGACGAAACTACACAGTAAATAATGAAACAGAAGTTTAATTCATACCAGCATAATCAGTCAATCATACTAAATACAACAATGAAACCTACAAGTAATTTATATTGTGAATAAGTGAAGTGAATTGAGACTGTAATGTAACCGTATTGAAAACTATAATATTGTCCTTAACATCATTGGTAGCAATACTTGTAAATAGTTCCACGATGGAAAAGTAACTGATTAAGTGGGAGACAGTGTATCATTCTGTGTCCCTGACTGACACCACCCCAAATTGATGTTATGTTGCTTAAGACGTTTACAATGGGACGTTTGTCTTTCCGTTCATTTTCAAGCATACTTTCAAGCAGAACCTATAGTCACCGGTGTAGCGAAAAGTAAATGCTAATGTCCCAGTTTTATATCTAGATAAATGGATAAATCATTGGAAATGGTGACAACCGGAGTAAAGATTTAAAAAATCAACACTTTCTATCCGAAATTTGTTATTTGCAGAATCAATAAAGTTAATTTCCACTTCCAGAGGATCAGCAACGCTAAATGAAATATTTACAGAAAACATTTGTTGTTCATTTAATGCAGGCCGCCATCTGCCTGCGGGACTCATCCCCAACAGTTACAATTCAAATAAACAAAGACATCGCCATGAATCTGTTTGCTTTTATTTCAAACGTTTCAAATTAAATTGCCTAAATGGGATTTAAAATCAATTTCCAACCACTGCACATACCAGTAAATAGTTTCGTTATTTACACATATTTCCATGATAATCAAATAAATAAAAATTAAATCAATCAAATGTCATTAATAACAAAAGTTGTACTTTTAGAGAAATAATATTATTCAATGCTGTTTGAAATTAATGCAAATGTTGGTGTTTTTTTCTAGTTTATTTGATCCTAGGCCACAAAAGGATATAAAGATACATTTCTATGTGTTTGAGGGCGTATTGGCATATGTGCA